TTTTTTTTTTTTTTTTTTTTTTGGAGAACGGACGAAAATCGGTGCGCGCGCAGGATGTCATCCATAAAAATAAAAAAGTGTGGCCTTATATGCATGTATAATACCAGGTACTAAGTTTATGACGTTGCGCCGTCCTCTATCTGCATTATTAGCAGACCGTGCAATGTATTTCTCCAATAGGGAGATGCAACGTCATTAACTGTGATGATGTATTATTCCAATAAGAAATTTCAAATTGTTTCTTCATATTACACAAAAATGTTCTTTTTGCCATTTTAGGTGAGGTAAAAATCACCAGCTCCTCAGGTATTCGTGTATTTATTAATATTCCCGATGTGGGGCTGATACGACAACGGTACCCCATCTATCCTTTGACAACCGACGGAAGTAATATACAAAAGGAAATGGAGGCAATGAAGGTAGAAATTCATTTTTACCTGTGACAATACCAAGCATGTCTTTATGTGTACGCTTTAGTTTTGTTCTTCTTCTAACATTTTGTGAACCGAGGTTGTATTAGGTGGTTAACTAAACTTATCTCTTTTCTTTAAAATGTTTTTGCAAATTCTTCTGTCGTATTCTCAAAACAATTTATTTAAATAAAAGAAAAAAATTGGTTATGCATTTTCTTAATGTCTTTTTTTTCTACAAAACACTAGAAATACATTACATAAAATTGTTTAAAATCAGCAATTCTTTAAAACGTCTACAAATCTTGCATCGCAGTGTGCGAGTTATGACGTCATCAACATATACTTATGTGTCGATAAAAGTAGCGATATTTACTAATATGTCAGGGTTGAAAGCTGCATCACGTGAACAATATTGACCTACATTCCAGGACCTGCTGATGGAGCAAAGCCGTTACATCAAAATGTACCGAGATCCGCCGCAAGGGGGCGGCACGACTACCGTGCCAGTGGAAGGAACAGACCTGTTGCTGACGACTTCTACAACTACCCAGAATCCTCCAGGGGAACATTTCCACGAGTAAATAATAATAATAATAATAATAATAATAATAATAATACGATGCCTTGGATCTAAATGGAAAGCAAATCAACAAACTTATTGATTGTAATGAACCAGGAATTAATGCTTTTCCACCCTAAAGCTTAGTTATGTATTTTAGCTGCAATTTCATGTCAACTCCACGTGACCATTTGTTGCAGATAGATCTGAAAATTTATTTCTTTCTAAACGTTTTGAATCGTTGATTGTTGCAGTTGATCAAATAATGTTGATAAAGCTAATATTTCCTTTCTTTACTCTTTTATTTCTTTCTAACCAATTCATCTTTTATATTAAATAGTTTATCTAATTTCATAGTACTTATTTGTCCATTTCCAATTCCATTCACAAACCTCACCCTTCCGTCTCCTCAGAGTTGTACTGAGCCCAGAGGAACAGGCGAGGTTCGAGGCTGGGGAGATGTTTACGGTGACAACAAGTGAGGCTCTAGGCCACTCCCACTCCCTGAGACTGCGCTATGACAAATACTGCGGCTGCTACGAGATAATGAGGTAGGTATGCAGGGTTAGTTTTTCCATGAGGCACGAAGGAAGCAAATTTCAAGAATGTGTCTGGAATTTGTTGGTGGTGGCGGTGGTCTACGTATGTGTGAGATCTAGAGTGTGTGTGTGGGGTTAACCATTCAGAAAAAAAAGCGATAGGATATGTTGTCCCCTCCCACCCCCCCCCCCCCCCCTTCCCCCCCCCCCCCCCCACACACACACACAAAAACCCCGCTTTCTGTGGTAATATGAATTACATGAATGAAAAAAGTAGAAGCTGAGAAAGCCAACTGGAAATATGTGTGCTGAGTAGGACCTATGTAATAATGTATTCATTTGTTTTATACTATACGGCCAACAAATATCGCTTTAAGATTAATTAGTTCTCAGTGAATATGTAACCATTGTTATATGATTTTATAAAAAGAAACTTCGTTCCAGGTGTGACCAGCAACCTGAATGCTGGGATGGTCACATGATGGAGCTGTTCCAAGAAGTATGACGTGACGCTCGTGACACGCGACTGCTGGCAGCGACAACTACAGATGTGCAAGGTGTTTTTGATGGAAGCTGAAATGGGGATGAGGTCCCTCTACGAGTATATACGATATATAAAGTTTATATATTCAGAACTGTCTTTTTGAAATTTGATTTTGAATTTTCATCATTTTGTGAACTGAAAGGTACCTGAAGCTGCATCACTAAATGTGATACAGCAAATAAAATCAAGGGGAACTGTATTGGCACCACAATATTTTCTTGAATAAAACATTGATTTGAATGACAGGTGATTTTGGTTAGTCATTCGTCACGCGGCTGACACAATCAACCTTTGTCATTTTCATCACTAGAGCCCACCCTGGAAAAAGGAGGAATCCAGTTATAAAAATTCTACTAAAATTTGCAAATAATGTAATATTCTCCACACACTGAACGTCTTTATGGATTTCATTCTAACTCTTTGCACCTTTACTTTTGCATTTATATTATTTTCAATCATATTTAATGCTAACACAGCTGATTGTAAGGAAACGTTTTGTTCGCACAATAAAACCACAATAAAATGGAAGACAGACTTGCTGTTACACGTACCCTCAGTTTCATTACACCGGATCACGATCCGCAGAAATAGACCCTTTATTACATTTTAACATTTTGTTTACTTGCCGAAAGATATCCAAGTCCAGTGCCTTAAATGCTGTGCACAGTAAAGAGTGAATAACGAAGGAATCCCATGCTGTAACTTAAATATTATGTGTTTACTATTCTAGATACAGACGCTATGGTGCAATGAATGTTCAGTCGACAACCCCCATAATTTTATACGTTACTTTATCAATTCAGGAAAACCATTAAACAATATCAACATCTAACTGGTTTCTTCTGGGGGTATGGGCGATGTGGCATAATGTTTTTCTTTTACTGGTTTCATAAACATGATTTAAGAACAAGAAAGTCCAAAGTTCTTACAAATAGAACGCAGGTAAACCAATTGATTGACAGTAAAATTGCGCGGCATAAGTGAAACCCGCGGGCGACGGGTTCCAAAATAATAAGTGTTACATAGATAAGATAATTGTACAAAAGGACAAAGTATGGCAAACTTACTGCATATCATGTTCACCAGTTTGTGAGGGGATCGGGGATGTCTTCATGGTCGGTAACGCTCAGAAAGTTTCTGAAAATCTCTAAAATTTGTATGACAGAGGCACCATGTACAATTGCCGTTAGGCCTATTATACACGTGTCTTCGCTGACTATATGATAACTGAACGAATTTTTGGTTAGAAATACACGATCAGTTTGCCAGTGCGACAGACATGGTTTTTCGCTAGGGTTGTTCAGGCACCGTTGCTTTTCATCAAAAAATACGTTGGTCGATTTTTACCGAGGAAGGCCCATGAAAAGAGTCAAGGCGTGCTCAACATAACTGTGTGCCTACCATCAGCTGCGAATCACGAGGAGAAAGTGAACAGGTAATCACGTATACGGGTATGTATAATTACTCACACTGGACGTAATTTGTGGGATATTAACGTCTGAAACTGAACGGAAGAGAGCAAAAGAGAGAAAGAGGCTGAGAAAGAAGACGAAGACTGAGTCAGCGAACATGGCGGTAGGTCTACCGGTGATGGGACGAGACAGTTTTTGCATGACAAAGGCGTTTGTGTCCAT